TGCTGTGTGACCTTGGGAAAATTCCTGCCCCTCTCTGGGCCTCAGTTTTCCTCTCTGTACAATGTTGGTGTAGTTGGACTCAATGGTTTTCTCTTTCCTGCTGCCCATATCTCTTCGGACCTAAAGGATTCCAGCTGGGCTCTTGTATGGCAGCAGAACAGTTACTGGAGGGAAGGCACTGGAGGAATCCAGACACGAAACGATGTAGAATTTCTCTGCATTTCAGAGTCTCCTCCTCACCCTAAAGGGTGCTTTTGCAGAAAGTGCAGCCTCAGAGTGTAGGGGGAGGGCCACAGTCAGCTGCCTGGGATGGGCTCAGAGCTAAGAATAATGTGGCAAAGGCTCTTGAAATTTTTTTGCTGATCCTGGAAATTTAAAGGAGCCGTTACATTTCTTTCCTCAGGAAGGCCGGGCTTATAGCTGAGTACACTCAGTCAGCCACTTCCCATCATGCTCTTAGTGGCATGTTTACCAGATGCCCGTTTGGTGCCATGCCTTGTGTGGGTGCTGGAGACTCAGAGTGAGGGGGAGAAGGCTGGACCCTTCCAGAGCCTGCAGGGACATTCCATGGCAATACAGGGTGATAACACAGTGATAATACAGCATGGTAGGCTACGATGAAGGTATGGTAAGACTGACAGTTTCTTTAGACCCCACCACCCTCTCTGGGCCTCTGTTTCCCTATCTGTAAGTAGAGAGCATTGCTGCTTTCTACTCTGACCTTCTAGGATTCTGGGTTTACCTAACAGCATGAGCCTCAGTTTACCCCTCTGCAAAATGGGATAGTCATAGCACTCTCAGCTTACCCAAGTGCTGGTGAGGTTTCAGAGAGCTAAGAGATATAAGAGTGTGGAGGAAAGGAAGACTTTGTGGGATGGAAAGTCTGTGGGATTTTGAAATCTGGACCTGCTGGAAACCAAGGTGAACCTTGCCTTCATTCTGCCAATTTCAGTGGATCTTTTCTGTTCCTGCCCCATCCCTTAGCTCATTGAACAAACTATAACCTGAGGCTGAACCCCGAGGGTCAAGGCAGAAGGGACCCCCTCTCTGGCTGGGGATCCAGGCTGTTTTCCTTGGATAGCAAGGACTTATCCTTAGAAATAGAGTACCTGGGTGGTGCAAAAAGTTCATGCTTTTGGCTGCTAACAGAAAGGTTGGCTGTTCAAGTCCACCCAGAGGTGCCTCAGAAGAAAGGCCTGACAATCTACTTCTGAAAAATCAGCCACTGAAAACTCTGTAGAGTGCAGTTCTACTCTGACACACATGGGGTGCCATGAGTCAGAGTCAATGGCAACTGATTTTTATCCTTAAGAGCAATGCACAGTTGAGGCAGCAGAAAGCACATGAGAACCAGGACAGCTACCCCAGAGAGACAGACACTGCTCCAAGGTTGGAAGATTTTGTTAATGATCAGAAAAAAGAATACAGGGTTGCTTCTGAAGGAAGTGAGCTCCCTGTGCCTGGAGGTGCCTGGATGCTTACCTTTTGGGGATACTACAGAGCAGATTTCTGTCTGGGCTGGCAGACAGGGATCCATGGCCCCTGAGGATTCCTTCCAACCCAAAATTTTTAATAGTTTTATTCAAAGGTCCCTTGACTCTGAGAATTTAACATTCTAGGATTCTTAGCTAGATTCAAAGATTCCACGGGGCATCCAGTCTAAGATATGATATTCTATGACTATCACTTTAGGATCCTAGTCCCCTCTGATTCTTTGACCCTGATTCAGAGTCTGAAGCTTTTGGGATCAAAGATTTTCCACAGTCCTTGTAATCAGAAGTCTAGGCAGCAAGGAGTAGCCTGGTGGCACAGTGGTTAAGAACTCGGCTGCTAACTGAAAGGTCCACGGTTTGAATCCACCAGCTGCTCCAAGGGAGAGATGTGGCAGCCTGCTTCCATAAACATTTACAGCTTTGGAAACCCTATGGGGCAGTTCTACTGTGTCCTTTAGGGTCACTATGAGTCGGAATTGATTAGAAGGCAACGGGTTTGGGTTTTTTTGAGCAGCAGTGGCCTAACCAAGACAGACTGAGAAGTTTGTCATCATCACCAAGGAACCCCCTCCCCACCTCAAGGCCAGAGACCCAGGCAATTCATTTGCCGGGTGCTGGGATTCATTTACACCTCAGGATTCAGCGATGCACATGGAAAAAAGAAGATGCTCAACACAAACTGCTGATTAAAGAAATGAATGAGTGAATGATGTGTCTCTCCACCATGTCCCTTCCTCTCCAAACCGTGCCCATCTGTCTATTTCACCATTAAAGAAGATTACACGGACAGGGAAGGGTGGGTTCTAAATAATGTTTTGCCTTACAGAGTTATCTACTAACACGCACATACACTCCTTACAATGTACATTCTTGAAGGCAAGGACTTTATCCAGTTCTCAGCAGTGTTCTCAGCACTGGGAACAGTAATGAATACTCCAGCTTAACTCAGAGAGAGCTCAAAGGTCTATCAATTGTGGGAGGGTAGAGTGGGAGGAGTTGATAGTGAGACCTAGATCCTGTGGGAGGGGACCCAGACAGGGAGGGGACCAGAATAACCAAGGTGAAAGCAAGAAGGTAAGGAAGCAAGGAGCTACTTAGCACTACATTTCACAGCCAAGGGAACTGAGGCTCAGAAAAGGAAAGTAACTTGCTTAGAGTCACACAGCACTGTCAGTGGAGAGCTAGGGCCTTCCTTCCCGTGCACCCCTCCAGGCCCAGCAGCACCACTTGACCTTCCCTGGGTATCTCTGCCTCTATGACTCCAAGACTTGGGCTTTCCGGGTGCGGGTTAGGTACTGGGTCTGGTCTCACCCCCTACCCCATGACCAGCCTTGCGGACTTTGAGGTTGATCTCAGCTCAGTCAACGAGTTTAGGGTGTCTTCCACAGTCTGACCATATCCCCTGAAGCAAAGCAGAGGGACCTCGCTGAGCAGAGATGCGCTGGCAGTGGGAAAGGAGGACCCAGTTAAGTTTCAGCTGGAAAACAGGGGAACGGATCCGCTCCAAGGCAGAGCCGCCGCCGTGGGTGAAGGGTGCCGAAGAGAATGGGCGCCAGGGGTAGTCTGGCTTGTCAGAGAGCCTGGCGGTAGCGGGGGCTGCTGAGCTGGGGAGCTAGACCCTGGAGCCCAGTGTCCTCTCCAGCTCAGTGGTCCGAGCCCCCGCAAGCGTCCCGAGTCTCCGATGAGTCCAAGGACTCCCGCGCGCTCCGAAGACTTTCTGGTCGGGGCTGGTCGGTGTGCCGGGCCTGAGGTCGGGCTCTCCGCGGCCCCGCGGGCCATCGGATGACAGGCGGCAGTAGGACCCAGGGGCCCGGAGAGTGCCCGGAGAGTGAGGGGGCGGGGGCCCGGCGGTTTGGGGGAGGTCTTTTGGCTTTTTTGG